TCGTCCCCTGCTGCTCAGCACCCCATCCTCCTCCTTCGGCCTCTCCCTCTGCACCCTTCTACTGCCTCCCTTGGAACTCACCCTTCTCCTCTTTCACCACCTCCTTCCACCTCCCTGGGATCTCAGGGGATTCCAGAGAGCCCTTCCCTCACTTCAGCCATCAGCAATTCCTGTTCTGCTCTCGATCCCAGTTTCCCTCAAACAGCACTTTCAATGTCTCGTTTCAAGGCACCGATCCGAAAATGTCCCTTTTCCTCGCTGTTCTCTACTTGGAGGGCAGCTCATGAGTTCCCGGCTGTTTTGGGGCACAGGAACGCCCTTCATCCCGCAGCCATCCCCCGGGATCCGCTGCTCCATTGCTCTGCTGGGTGTGTGCATCCCTGGATAATCACCTGCTGCAGTCTGGAAAAGCCTTCTGCCCGCTCTGGCTCTGTTCAATCCCACAGCTGAGCAGCCACACAGCAGCACCCGGGGCCAGCACACACAATCCTCCTCCAGCTGCCATCCTCCATACAGGCAGGATTTTCTTGCTGGGGAGGACTTCACTCCCAGCAAACCCTTCCTCTCAGCTCAATTCTTTCATGAAACTCATTTATTCCATGATCCTACAGAATGGATCGATGGTTTTGGAGCAGACTGAATTCCAACCTGAATAATTATATTCTGTGATTCCAAATTTCCATGTTTTTTATCAACAGCTTGGTTGCAGGATGCTGCAAAGGGGATGGATTTTGGGAGAGCAGAGCTCTCTGGCTGTGATGGATTTTTCCATGGGAAAAGCTCTGTGTCTCTCCCCAAACTCCGCTTCCCCATCCCAAATCCCACTGCAGCCGCTGGTGGCACGGAGATCCTCGGGAAAAGGAGGGGACATGGCAGGGACATCAAGGGAGGCGCATTTGCTCCGTGTGGCCCTCCCGGTGCTGGGGAAGCAGGGCAGTTAATGGGTTAATAATTAACGCGGAGCTGTTAATGGGCATCACCCCCGGCCGAGCTCCAGGTGCGTGGGGTGCCCCGGGCCGAGGGTGTTTTTAGTGCGGGCGTTCCACAGGCTGCGATCCCTGGGGAATGCAGCGGGATTCGGGCTGCGGGGACCTGCTGCATCCTCAGCTTCTGCAGGGAGGGACCATCCCCGAGAGCCGGGCACCTCCACCCCTTTGGGGTTCGGCTGCTCCCCCAGCCCGAGTCTCGGCACGGCTCCCTTTGGAAAGGAGCCGAAAGGAGCCGCTGGATGTTTATTTTTCCGGGACAGCCGAGCAGGAGCCCCGGCGGCTCCAGCTGCGATGAAAAAGCCGAGCCGGGATGAAGGGAAAGGCGAGCCCCGCTCCGCTCGGAGCTGCAGGGAAAGGATGGAACGGGCTGGGAGCTGTCCCAGGGCTGTCCCCGCTTCGGCTCCGTCCCCTCCGAGCTCAGGGATCGGCTGAGCCCGGGACCTCGGCCCGGCTGTCCTGAGGCCCAGCAGGATTCTCCATCCTCATCCTTCAGTTTCCCGGGATTGCTGTTCCCTGCACGGCTGCGAGTTGTTATAAATGGAGAGAATTCCTAATCCTGGATCCGCGCGTTGCGTCCTCCCGTGTCCTGTCCACAGTTCCTGGTATCCAACAATCCCGAGCGTCACATTCCTGAGCAATGGCTCTGATCCCCTTGGTGCTGACTCAGTCAATCCAGCGTCACTGGTGTCCCTCGGGAATTTCCCATCACGAAGGCTCCTCTGGACAAGCATCAGCTCCTGCTCCATGGACGTCTCCCAGATGCCGGATTCATTAATCACCACTTCCAGAGGCTCAGGCTCCAATCGAGCCCCATCCAGCTGGGCACAGCAGCTTTCCTCCTGGCTTGATGAGGACAAGGAAGCACCAGAGCCAGCAGAAAATTCCCTGCAAAAAGCATCCTAACTCCTGTGCAGGCTTGGGAGTTGGAATCGTTGTGAGTCCTTCCAACCCAGGATATTCCATAAAGGATTCAAATGTGTTTTCTTCCAGGCTCTGAAGCAAAATGTTGAAGGATTTGGAGAGTGCTGAGGTGGATTTCTCCTCCCCGTGGGCCACATCCAGGAGGAAAGTGAATTCCCAGCACATCTTCCCTCTGGTGGCCGTGGGATCGGGAGTTTGCCACCGCCGTTCCCTGAGATCCTGCTGAGGAAAATGCCACTCTCAAAGCTCCTTTGGGCTGGTGAACCACAGATCTCCCATGCTCCCAGTGAGGACTTGGGATGAAGGAGGCTTTGGAAAGGCTGGAATGTGGATCCGTGATCCCAAAGTGAGAGGGAGCTGTGAGGAGCATCACACCACCACGAGCTGCGATGTCAGCCAGGCCCTTCTTCCCCATAAAACCCCAATTGCAATAATGAGAAAAATAGAGAAATTGCTGGAATTTCTACAGTTTTGCATTGTTTTCCCACTTTCTGTCCCAAATCTAAAGAGGAAAGGCAAGGAATAATCACACGGACACCAAGGGTTAGGAATTATTCTTCTTTTAATTTCACATGGTTTAAAATACGATATGAAATAAGGCTACAGTATATAAAAAACTCTCCAGCAAAATGATGTGCCAGCATCAGCAATTAAAACAAAACCAATCCCCTCCTTCTCTAGGAATTCAATGGAGGAGGGATTTTATTTTTCTTTTGAATCCTTTAAAAAAAACCAAACGGAACCAGACACAACACACGGACACACACACACATCGCTACATCTCTAAGCTACCTCAGCTCAGGTTTTTTTAAAAAAGCACCTGCTTTTTCCTTGTTGTTGTTTTTTTTGTTTTGTTTTTTTTTAAATCTCACTTTTAAACTTTTTTTTTCCCACTTTTAAAAAATATAAATTATATGAAAATACACGTTGGAAAATAGTTGAACAGCACAATATAACAATCTCTTTTTTTTTTTTTACTTCTAAGTTTATCAGCTTAAAAAAAAAGTGTAAAACCAAAATAAAACAAAAAAAAATACTTTTTTTTGTTTTTTGTTGTTTTTTTTTTTACTGAGGCAGTTAATTCCTGGAGATATTCCATTATAACATATATGTATACATAGACTTATCCTTTATTTAAACCTCTTTGGAATGTAGACAACAGCTCCTGGGTGTTACATAGACCCTACCAGGGAGCAGAGCACACCAAGGCATCCCAGTTTTCCAATGTTCACAAGGAACCAGCAATTGAATCCTAAAATCTCGGAGAAAACCCCTCCAAAAAATCAAAACTCAGAAGGTGGAGACGTTTTCTGCAGCATCTGGATTTATTGGTGCTTTCTGGGACTGTTTTTTGGAGGAGGTGTTGGTTTGGGAAGACAAGAGAAAGTGAAATTTTACATTATTCTTTATTTTTTTGCCCTGTTTGGTTATTTTTCCCCCTGACCAGTAACAGCTGGATTGGGATGGTGGGAGTGTGGGAATAACATGGGTCTCCACTTGGACACAGCACAGGGCCAAGGATTATGAGGATCCCACACATGGAGATGGAGAGGGACTGGCAGGAAAGTGCTTGTGGTTTTTGTCATTATTGGGGTGGGTTTTATCATTATTGGGTTTTTTCCTTTATTTTTGACTTCCCAAATATCAACTGTCAGAGCCCACAAAGCTGTTTGCAAGTAGGGCTCAGGCTCTGCCAGGGGGGCCAAGGGGACACCAATCCACATGGAAACAGCAGAAAATGAGCAGGACACAGAAAATATCCCAAAAACTCACCCAAAGCACCTGAGACATTCCAAAGCAAGACAAAATGACCCCGTTTCCAACACTATCTGCGAGGGGAAATTTGCTCCTGTGTGGAGGAAGCAGCACAGGAGGGAGTCCCAGCCCTGGCAGATCTCCATCATCCCTCTCAAATCCATCCTTCTGGGCCAGCAGGTGGGAATAAACCAGGCTTTCATGGACTTGGAGCTCAGAGGGTTTGGGTTGAGCTTGTCTGGCTCAGCACAGCCCTCGCCAAAGGCCAGCAATGAAAAGCAGAAGGAAAAAGGAACCAAAGCAAAAGAAACAAAGAGAAATCTGCACATTTCCAGTGTATAAACAGCACCCATCTCTGGGATGGCCTCTAGAATGGGAATAAAAGCAAAGGAAAATAGGAAATGATGGAGCTGATGTGTCTGGGACTGTTCACTGAGGCTGGGAGCTGGGAGGGAAAAGGCTGAAAAAACAATGGAGAAACTCCAGCCAGAGGTTCCTTCCAAAAATCCAGAGCTGCTTCCCATGGCTCCCCCTTCCTAACCTCTAACCATCTCCCCAAAATCACTGGGAACACACAGACTCAGCTTGGAAACCTGGAATAAGCACAGTGGATGAGGGATTTATCCTGGCAGGGGGACAGAGTTGTAGTCAAAACTGCAATTCCTCCTACTGGAGGGAAATTTTATCCCATTCTTTTTCTTTTTCAGATGGAGTGCCTGAGAAACCAGGAGGGATGTCCTGGGACACGGCCCACGCCAGGGGCAGGAGCTGGGATGTCTGCGAGTCCCTTTCTAAGGGTGAAGAGGGATTTAAGTGACCCATGATGGGCAAGCTCAGGGCACTTTGCAACAACCAGCAACATCCAAAAAAAAATCCTCTGATGGAAATCCAACCCTTCCTGTTGGGATGTTCTTTACCAGCTCCTCCCAGTGCACTCTGTGCCCTCACAGCTCTCCTGGCTCCCTGTCCAGCTGCCCAGCCTTGGCTCAGGCTGATCTGTCCCAGAGACCCTGTGGGGGTCTCATCCATCATATCCCTATTTTCCTTTCCTACCTCCAACTTGGCCAGGCTGCCCCCATTCTCCTCCTCCCTGCCTGCCCGAGGAGACGAGCCCAAGTTCCACTTCTCAGTGGGCAGCGTCCCTTTCCTCCTTTGGGGTTTCCTTCACCTTCCTTCCATCCCCTCTTCCCTCCTTTCCACCCATCCCAGCCTTTCCTTCAGACAACCCTCAGCACCTGAGTGTAACAACCTCCCTTCCTGGACCCCCCTCTGCTTCCACCCCCTTGGCAGGAGCTCCCTCCTGACCCTCCCATTTCCCCTCCAACCCCCCCTTTTATAAGGACACAGCAGTTTTGGGGACTTTCCCTACAATGAGCAGTTTTAGGCTACAGAAGTGCTGGGTGCCCCAGCTGCAGAGGGAAAGGAGGAGAGCCCAGCACCTCTGGGCATCACTTTGGGATTGGGCTCCCCTCCAGCTCTGCCCCTGGGGGTGGGGGTGTGCCTGAATATTCTGGATATTTTACAGATTCCTGTCCTGCCCCCGCTCCATTGGGATCAGGAGTCACTCTGCAGCACTCTGGAAAGGCTCTGAGCCCCGATTCCCAGCTGTCCCACAGTGCCTCTGGAATGAACTCCGTGCCCCAAAGACACACACAGCACACACAGAGAGGGGATTCTGGTAAAGTACAAAACACTGCCTTTAAATGCAATCACCCAGAGGGGTGAAAGATTCCCTTGGGCAGAATTGATCTGCCTTTGGGATTGTATCGGGATACGGGAACAACCTCTGAGCCTCCAACTCCCAGCAAGAACGCCTGAGGGGTGGGGGCTTGTCCTCAGCCTGCCCAGAGCATCCCGGGGAGCCCTGGGAACAGCAGGAGAGACCCCTCCAGAGCAATCCAGCTGCAGGAAGGGTTGGGAGGCCAGAGGGAGGGAGCAGCTGCCCTGGGAGCGATCCCGGCCGTGCCTGGTGTGAGCAGCAGCCCAAGGGGCAGAACGAGCCCATTTGCAGGGACAATTTCCTTTCTGCTGTGCCCACACACGGCCATGAAGACAGAGCTGCTTGAAACAGGAAGGAAAAAACATTTCCCTTTGGGTTTTGAACATTTTCCTGATTTTTCCCCTCAATTAACTTGCATATTTTCCATTTACCACGTTGAAAACATGGGAATTTCTCTCCTTTCTCCTTCCCAAAAAAAGTTTTCTCTAAGCACCAAAGTGTTCCTTGAGCAAAAGAAGTGATTTGGAAAATGCAAAAAGACATTTTCCATGGAAATTTTGAGAGGATTTGTGCAGCCAGAGATAAAAAAATAGCAGGAATTTCAACCAGCATTATCAGCACAGCGTGTGGGGCTGGAAACATGAGTGGCACCCCCAGCCAGCATCAACAGGAGCCACTTTGGAGTTCATTTTCCCATCCCAGTCCCAGCATTCCAATTCTCCAGTGGGGTCTACATAAACTAATTCCTTTTCCTCTTTTTCCTCCCTGGGATAAAACTCTCTGCTGGCAGAACAGAAACAAACACACAATATTGCAATACTGAGACCATCTTAGAGCTTAAGACTATTTAGGAAAAAAAAAAAAAAACAAACAAATACTGGCACAAAATTTAATAAAATAAAACTTTAAAAAAAAAATAAAAAAAGTCTTGATCCTTCCTAGGAAAAATTCTATCTCTTGTAGAAAAGAAGACAATGGACAGAAAGGTGATGGAACAAGAACAACAGTTCTTGTTTTTTTCCTATATTGCCCCTCCCCAAAGCAAGAATATTCACCCATTTTGGTTTTCCAAAAGAAAAAAGTTTAAATTCCTCAAATCCTCAGGAATATTGTCATTCCTGACCTGTCAGTTTGTGTGTGAGCGACCAAAGGGATCCATTCAATCCCACTTTTTTCTAAACAGCCAAGGGTGGGGAGGGGACTGTTGGTTTTTTAAGTGAGCTACATTTTTCTGGCTTTCTTAAAACTCAGAATTTTCCCCCAGAAAAGCCTGTCTTGGAGCTTTCAGGAAATCAACAAAAGCCCATCCTTCCCAAAAGTTTTCCTCTTCCTCCCCCCTCTCCCCCGACATCCTCAAAGCCTCGAATCTGAGTGGCCCTTGAAAAAAACGAGCAGAAGAACAGCGAAATTGAATAAAGAAGAGCCACCAAACGAGTCCCGTGGGCTCTCCCCGAGGACAGCGGCGACGCCGTGTCCCTGTCACTCGTCGGCGTCGGGTTTGACGTCGAGCATGGCGTGCAGCTCCTCGGGGGTGTAGCCCAGCAGGCTCTGCAGGTCGCACACGAAGCGGTACACGTAGCGCTTCCCGGCCGTCTTGTGGATGATGTTCTTGTCGTAGTAATAGCGCAGCCCGCGGCTCAGCTTCTCGTAGTTCATCTTGGGCTTGTTTTTCCTCTTGCCCCATCGCCGGGCCACCTGCAGGGAGCAAGGACAGGGAGGAAAAGTCAGCCTGGCTCGGTTGGGATGTCTGTGTCGATGTTCCCTTCCCAGCAGGAAGGGGGAGGATTTCCCTCGTCATTAAGAATCGATGCTTGGGAAAACCAACCTCTGTGCAATGGCAGACCATGGCAGAGCGCTCTGTGAGCATTTATCGGGATAATTTCGGGTGCTACCTCAGATATAGCCTCATATCCCAAGTCCTTCAACCCTTTCTCGAGGTTTCTCTTCCACCTTCTGCCCGTTCTAAACCCGATGGCACCAACATGCAATGGCCCAGTGCCCGTCACTTTTGCACTCTGGCAGGCTGCAGTCACTCATGGAGTTATTTATGTTGGAAAAGCCTCTAAGATCATGGAGTCCAATCGTTCCCCAGAACTGATCCATGCCACATCCACACAGCTTTTAAATCCCTCCAGGATGGAGACTCCATGGGCAGCTGTGCCAGGGGCTGGACAGCCCTTTCCATGAAGGAATGCTCCCTAATATCCCTGAACCTCCCCTCGTGCCGCTTCCTCTTGTTCTGCCACAGAAGGGACCAAACCCCACCTTCCAAGGTGACAAAGATCACAAAGGAGGGGACAAAGATCCCACCTTCTCCCCAAAGCAGGGGACAGCCCCTCACCTGTACCCAGCCTCTCTGAAGAGCTTTGCCACTGCTCCTCTCCCTAAGGTGTTCCAGCTACTTCCCACCAACACCACCACAAACCCCCGCCTCCAAAGGGTGACTGCACCACGATTTTCAACAAATTTTCTGTTGGACTCTGATTCCTTGGTTGCCCACAACATATCCAAGACCAGAACAAAGTGGCTGCCCAAAGGGATGAGGAGAGGCTTATCCACACCAATATTTCTGAGGAGTCTGGGTTGTGCACTTTATTTCAGGGCACTTTACCTCGTCTGGATCTGAAAGTTTGAACTCCCAGCCATCGCCCGTCCAGCTGATGAAGGATTGACAGGACTTGTCAGTGAGCAGTTCCAGCAGGAATTGCCACAGTTGGATGGGTCCACTGCCTAGAAAGACAAGGGAAACATGGGATATTAATGTCAGGAAAAGCACAGATCATTCTATCACAGCAGGGGAAAAATTCCCATGCAAAAGGTGCTCACTGAATAAAATAAAACCTTCTGTCAAAAACAGCCACGAGCAGCCACAGGGCAGAAGCCGAGCTGGGAGTAAAACCCTACAGGTAACAAAGCTTCCTATTTGCAGGAAGAGCTGAATATTCATGCCCTGGAATGCTTCACGTGGAGTTACATAAATAGGATTATTTTTCTGGCACACAAACAGGAGGAGTCACTGCCTTGGCACCCGAGCAGCACCGATCCCTCTGTGCCAAAGAGCCGCCGGCCACGGCTGAACTCCGGCAGACTCCACTTCCCGACCTTGACTCTTTGCTCTGTGCTGTTGATTGAGATAAGGGGGACCCAGGTACGAGAATTCCTTGGCCTCTTTCCAGGATGTGTTGCTGCAGGAATGGGCTCTGCCGGCTTGTGGGGAGGGTGAGGGCACACAGAGCTCCCCAGCCCAGGATCTCCTCGTCACCCCCTTGGCACAGCCTCAGCAAATCCATGAGGAACCTCCCTGCGGCTGCTGCTCCCCTGAGCCAGCTGGAGAGGCACGAGGTGATGTGGAGCATCCCATGCCACGGGCGTTCCACCTGTCCTGCCACACCTGGTCTCCATCTCCCCTCCAATCGCTCATTTTGGCCATCCCAGTTTGTGTCAGGGCACCCGCTGAGCGCCTGTGGCTGGGTTTGGCTGGAGTCATGCAGAACTTCTGAAATCCTCATCTCTTCCTTGGCCTTGAGTCCCAACACAAGGTAGAGGAGAAGCCCTGGAACTAAAACCTCTTTGATGAACAACTTCCAAATGTGGCCACACCCCAAATATTGCACTTAGCTGTGGGCAAGGTGTTTTGGCAGAGACCCTGCCATGGTTTAAACCTAGCTTGGAATAGATCACTAATAATGACAATAATTACAACGAGACAGCCGGAGGTGAGAGGAAATTATTTGTCCCACACAGAATTGCACAGGCTGGATCAGCTGGGGTAATCCCAGTTCTGACAGCACTGAGCAAAGCTTCAAGCAGGGAAAGAATGAGTTATGGGCTCAGGAAAAGGGATGGAGCCCAGCCCGTTTCCAGGAATGCCAATGGATGCTGTCCGAGCTGTGGCTGCAGGATAAGCCACGGAGGGAAGGGAGGGCTGCTCCCCTTCTCCACACAGTTTAAAATGACTCAAAAGCTGCTGGGGAGGAGGAAATGAGAGAGCTGGCTCCAGGACATGGGAATTGCTGTGTCCCATCCAGCCTTTCCCAAAATGTTTCTCCCCTGTTATCCCTATGGAACTGCTCCAGGGGTTTGTCAGTGCCAAGCCTGGGGACTATCACAGCCACAGGCAGGGCAAGGCAGGGAGCTCCTGGCTCCTTCTGCTGCAAATGGGAAGGGACTCAGCGGGGAAAGGCTCCAGCCCGTCACTCCTCTGGAGCTTGCCAAAATATTGACTCCACAACTGAGCTCTCCAGTAGAGATGGAGCTGGAATATCCATGCCAAAATGAGGGAGGAAATTCAGATGACGCCTTCGCCTCTTGCTGAAAGGGAAGAGCAAAAAGCCTGGCCTGAAGTGCCACCACATCTCCAGACTCAGGGCTATTTATAGCAGTGAGCTCTAAATGCAGAGAAAACACTGGGAAAACAGTTTAGTGGCTGTCTGAGGTCTTCCACAGGTGAATTCCCAAGGGGATGAGTTCTCTTGGCCCATCTGACCTTACACCAACTCCCCACACACAGCCAGGGAGCATCCAACACCCAAATCAAGTTAACAGTGACACAGCCCAGGGAGTCCAAGGCCAGGTCCATCCCCTCCCACTGATTTCTCTCCTACCCAACTGAAGAAAAAGGACTTTTAGTTGATTCCTTCCCCAAAATAAGAGGGATGGAAATTCATCACCTGGGTGCCCGGTTCTTGGGTGAGGAACTGTCCTCAAAACACCCCTGGGCCATCCTGGCCCTGTGCAGGATATTTGGAGGTTCCAGCCTCACTAACCCCAAGCCAATGGCCAATGCCATTCCTGTTTGGCTGCCAGCTGGCAGGGAGAGGTGTTGGGAAACCCAGGAATTCCTGCCCTCTCCTGCAAGCAAGGTAGGGCTCCTGCCACCACCCCCAGTGCCACTCTGCTGGGTATTTTGGGATTTCCAAGGAAGGGGTGTCTTCCTTGCAACAGGGATTCCCGGGGTCTATTCCGAGCTGCCTGCAGGACACGCGTAAAACCCCAAATTCCTCTCTCTGGACAGGCAGTTATGTGAGGAATGTGTTTATGCAGGGCTCCAGGCATGTCCCAGCTCCTGTAAACACCCCCTCCCTGCCCGAGGGGGAGGCAGCCAAGCCTGGCAGATGTGGCACCGCTCCGAGATGGCAGCGGGGTGGCAGGAGCCAAACCCCAGCACATGCCCAGGCCTGTGCCCCAAATCAGCGCTGGCAGGGAGGAGAACAGAGCAGGGAGCAGTGCTGGAGGTCAGGGCATCATCTGCTGCAGCTGTAATTAATGCTGGGTGCGGGATCTTCACAAATGAGCCACTCTGCAGCCAGCAAGGGGCAGGGAATACCTTCCCATAGGATTTCAAGGTGGCTCATGCAGCAGTGCCACTCCCCTCAGTGTCACAGGACAAGCAGGAAGCTTCTAGGCTTGTCCCTGCACCCCAAACTTCCTCATCCACAGGAGCTGGGAGCAGGGCCCATTTTCCATCCCTCCTGCTCCAACCCTTGCCCTCATCCCAGTCAGGGCTGGAAATCCCCATCAGGATGCCAGGTTGGGATCACTCCATGGTACAAGCACACACAGCCAGGCTGTCCCAAGACATCCCACCACGGGATCTGCTGCCTTGCTTATCCCAAAACAACCACCAGTTCCTGCAGCCTGGACTGGGATGCAGCTCCAAGCGTGAGGTGGAGGGGCACAAGGCAGCTGTTAAGGCATTGCTCCCTCCACACACATCCAGGGGCTTCCCAGAGCAGACCCAGCCCTGGCTGGGGACTGGGGGCAGCCCTTGCTCCACAAAAGACAAGGCGAGAACTCAGAGGGGTGGGGGTTCCTCCCACCCCACAGAGACCTCCTGCACCCACGGAGCTGCTAAAAATAGCACCCACAATGGGGGCCCTGTCTGGCCTTGGTGACACTGAACAGGGTCCTTCAGCAGGGACTGTCACAGCACAGGAATTCTGCAGCGTCAGGGGGAAAATATTCCTCTTGAGCCGGGTGACAGTTGGAATTGTGGGAACTGGGAGCTGCTGGCTGAGCGGGGCTTCCTCAGCACCGAGCTCTGATGGTGTCCCCAGAGCGAAGGGTTTGGTGTCACGCCATCCCTGTGCCATCCTTCCTTGGTCAGGACAGGTCCCCCACCTCCCTCCCAGCCTCTGGGATACCGAGCTCTGCTGGATGGGGCCGTTCCAGGGGTGCAGTGATGGTGGCACTGCCCTGCTGGGGCAGACGGGCACCACACGGGGAGGGCACAACCCCAGCCCCGACATCTCTCTCGGGACGGTTTTACACATCCACCCCTGCCAACGGCCTCTGTTTTGTTTCCCTCGGTTCAAACAAGAAGACAAAAAAACCCCACCTGCCCCAGCGAGGCACTTCTGCCTGGTGCTCTGCGGTTTGTGGTTCCAACCCCACAAAACAAATGGCCCTGGCAACGTCTCCAAAACAGCCCCTGCCCCACTCACCTGCCCACCCTGCCCACCCCCTCTGATGGCACCACGGTCCCCAAAGCCCCAGAGGGCTGGGAGTGCTGGTCCCCATCACTCCCTTGTCACACCAGTTCCCACAGCTCCTCCCCAGCCCCCGCCTGGGCTGGTGCAGGCATCAGACACCGCAGAGCAGTGGAGATCTCCAAAGAGCAGGGGTGGAAAAGCAGGAGAGGACCCAGGAAGCCCCTTCCTTAGGGAGCAGCATGGCCACGATGACAGGCAGGAGAGCAGCCAGAGGGCCAGGCCAGGCCAGAGCTGCTTCCCTGCTGGCGCTCCTCTGCTCTCAGGAAGGGGGTGGTGGAAGGACTGGGCTCATGAGTGGGAAGAGACCCACACAAATCATCCACTCCAGCTCCTGGCCCTGCACGGGGCAATCCCACCCTGTGCCTGGGAGCACTGTCCCTGAACTGAGCCCAGGGGCACCTGGCAAAGCTCCAGGGGTTCTGTGAGCTCCAATGCCCCTGATGTTGGTCCTGCAGACCACGAGCTGCTGAGCAGCACCAGCTGGGTGTCTGGAGGAGACACAGCCAGAGCTGCTGCCCCCATCACCCCCCAGGCTGGAGGAGCCCTGGGGAGAGCTGAGCTCTGCCACGCTTGGGCAGCGGAGCGTGGGGCTGGGTTTGCTCTCGTCTGGCAGGTGGGGCAGGAGCCACTGAACCGGCTCCGGTCCCACCCTTGAGTCCCCACCCAGGGGAGCCCAGAAGGGCACCGAGCCCATTGGGCCCTGCCTGAGGCAAAAGCAGGCAGGAGCTGCAGGGTGGTCACCCCGAAGTGCAAGGACGGGCGAAGGGCACCACAGGAACAGGGTAACAGCAGCCCCTGCATCCCAGCAGGGCCAGAGGAGCTGCAGAGTGCAGGAGGGGGGGTGACTGCATTCCCAAACTCCCGTGCCCTGGCTGCTCCAGCCCTGCAGGGAGGATGCTGCTGCTTCCAGCAACGCTGGTGCACAGGCTGGGGAAGGCAAGGACAGGCAGAGTGTGGCAGGCAAGGGGACAGGAAGGCACCTGCTGGCAGATTTTTGGGTGCTGATGACCACAGCACAGGGGGGATCTCGCCTGTGGAGGCTTCAGAGCAGCAGCACAGCACCAGGGGGAGGGGCAGCAGCACCTGAGCTGTCCTGAAAGAGACCCACTTTCCTTGGCACTGCCTCAACTTTCTTGCAAAACAGCAGCTGTGCTTTCACTGCTGGTCACAGATAAGCATCGCTCACAAACAGAGGCTAGGCAGGCTTCAGGCTGTGCAGCACAGGCAGCTCACACACTGCACAGGGCTCAGAGACACATCTGCCCCACGCTGCTGACAGCCAGGCTCACGGCGGGGTCCGGCCTGGGCAGCTCCAGCTCGGTGGAGGGAGAGTTCTGGGTGGGATAACATCTGTGAAGGAGGCTGCTCCTTGCTGATCTGTGGGATCAGGGCTTGGTGTGCCCCACCTCTCCTCTCCCACCCCTCTGGAACCCGGGCAATGGCGCTGCTGTGTGCTCAGTGATGTGGAGCAGCAGCTCTGGCCCACAACAGCACCAGCACTGTGGCTGGAAAGCCCTGGGGTGTCAGTCCTGCCCACCACAGAGCAAACAAACCCCACTCCTTGGCTGCCAACCCACACAGCTGCTCGAGGGAACCCAAACCCAGCTCAGCACTGAACAGCCATGGTGAACCAGCAAGGTCTGACCTCCTGCAGCCCTGCAGCACCAGGGGAGGCAGCACGGGCTGCAAACACCAACACAGGGCACACAGATCCAGCTGAGTTTATCCACCTGGTGCCAGGGCTCCTGCAGGATGCTGGGGGCCATGGGAATCAGAAGAGGCTGCAGGATCCAGCTACGGCAGAGCCCCAGGGAATGTGGAGGCAGAGCTGAGCTCACTTTAGCCCAGCTGGGCTCAGGCATTGCAGGGATCTCTGCCCATTCACACCAAACATGGCTCTGCTGCTGAACCAGGGAGCTTAGACTGAGCTCAGCTGAGCCAGCATGAGGTTTAGCAGTGAACACACATCCTGAGCCATCCCTTGCCTGGATTTCATGGATGCACTCTGTGTCATGGCAAAGTAAATAAAATCTGGCTTAATGTAGAACCTCAGAATCAGAGAACCTCCTGAGCTGGGAGGGACCACTGGGATCATCCAGCCCAGCCCCTGGCCCTGCACAGACACCCCCAAACCCCACCCTGGCCATCCCTGGAGCTCTGTCCAGAGGCTCCTGGAGCTCTGGCAGCCTCGGGGCTGTGCCCATTCCCTGGGGAGCCTGGGCAGTGCCAGCACCTCTGGGGGAAGAGCCTTTCCCTGATGTCCAACCTAACTCTGCCCTGGCCCAGCTCCAGCTGTTCCCTCAGGTACAATTCAAGCTGCCCAAGCTTTGACTGAGCTCCAAACCCAGGTGTCCAGGGCCAGCCCTCCCTGCAGCAATGGAAACTGAAGTTCACCAACTCCTGAGCAAGAACATTTCTCCTTCAAAAAGAAGATAAGAAAATTGCATCAACCTCTCTGTGAGCAACCATGGCAACTTGTTAAAATAGGTCAAGATGTGGGGGCAGATAAGGCAGCTCTGAAAGGCTGTTCAGAGCTGGGTGAAGAACACATCAAACGCAAACGGAGCTTCCGCCAAAATGCACCTTCTCACCCCAAAACACGCCTCTGGGGCAGATAGCATCAGAGACCTGCTGGGGCCACCTCCCTGGGCAGCACAGAAACAGGGCCTGGTAACAGAGCCTGAACAACATTGTCAGGTCCTTAGAGGCAGCACAGAAAGCTCTGGGGATGGGGGATGCCATGTCCCTCTTCACCCTGCCAGGTCTAGCAGGGTCACCACGAGGTGGGTGCTGGGTGTGTCCTCAGGTGTGAAATGGAACCCCAAGGTCTCGCTGTTTTGGGTTCCTGGGCTGGCAGAGCCCTGCTCTGCTCCTTGGGAGGCTCCACCTCCCTCCTCAGCAGAGCCACCAGCAGAGCCCAGACTCTGAGTTCCTCTGCTCTGGCTGCCAGACAGCATTTCCTCCCCTGAGTAAAGTAAGAGTAAAGCACAGCAATGCACAAAAGGCTGAGCTGTGCCTGAGTCCCCACTCTGAGCTCAGCTGGCCCAGGCCAGACCTCCAGCACTTCTCAATGGGCAGCCTGAGGATGCTTTTGTGAACTGACACAAACCCAGAGCCTGGAGAGTGCCCAGTTCTCCTCCAGGTTGAAACCCAACACGTGCTACTCGCTGTCCCTAGGACCTGCCCTCACAGCAACCCTGCTCTGGCTCCCTTGGCTTGGAAAACCCAGGGCTGAAGATTCAGGGTCTGTAAAACGGCTCAGGGGACATCTCTGGAGTCCCTGCCTGCCAGGATCACCTGTCCAGGGACCTTTCCCAATGGCAAAATCTGGCTCTGCTGGCTTCAGTATTGCTCAGCAGCCTTTGGAGCAGGCAAACAGCTCCAGCTCAAGCATTTCCCAGTGATTCCAGATTTTCCTCTCCACATTTAAAGCCTCTCAAGTGAAGCAACACAAAAATAAATAAAAAAATCAGGCGTTCCTACTTATTGATCCCACCAAAGTGCCTGGGCCAAGGGATTCTCTTCCCAGCTCCAAGAGGGGTTGGAAATGAGGTGAAGGAAAATGTTACTCAGAGCAAAGCGTTTGGAATTGTGCTCTGGCATTGCATGAACCCAAGTCTCCCCTTCCCGAAGGCACTGCTCCAAGGACAGCCTTTGGGGTGCTAATATTCCTTGGAAAACACAGGGCCCAGCCTCTGACTTCAGCTCCTCGCCTTTCTCCGGGGGTGGCTCTTTTGCACTCTTTTCCATGAGCTACAGCAAATGTGGAGGGAAATAGCCAGCTTGGGAAAGAATGCTCCTGATTTTGCCAGCACCGCGTGCCTCGGTTTCCCCGACTGTTCAAACGCATCCTGGGCTCTGCGTACCCAAAGCACTTCCAGGTGCCGTAGGGAAAGGCATTGTCAGGAGACAACAGGAATAAAAATAGGAATAAAAGGAGCAACTTGTGCTCAGCGCTCACTTTTCTCAGGAACATTGATTTCCACGGCAGATTTCCAGTAGAGAATAACCGCAGGTCACAGTCCCTCCTCTCCCTCCCCACCACATCCCCAAGCCCCAGTCCATTCAGGAATGCAGAGCTCACTCGTATTTTCTATGGACTGGGTAGAGTCTCATTCAGCAGGCAGGGCCGAGCTCTTTCTAACTAAAGCTATAGCAACAAACCACTTCCTTTTTTACACTCCTAAAATTATCTCCCCACCTTTCCTCTCCCTCCTGCTCTCCCCACCCTCAGAGGCTGGTGTCAGCCCCAAGATGAGCCGTGCGTGGGAGCAGACTCAGGGCCAGCCGCACCTCAGGATCTGAACCTGGTGATGATCTTTATCGGCACTAACTCTTTCCACCAGCTGGGGCAGGACAGATGTGAATGTGCAGAGCCAGGGGAGCTGGCAGGAGGCTGCCCCAGAGTTTCCTTAAGCACAGGGGAAAGCTATGGCACAGAAGGGCTGGAAAGGATTAGCTCAGCTTTAGCTGGAAGTCCCATCCCACCAAGTTTCTCTCCTTGGAGATGCCAGATTGCTGAAGGGCTGTCATAAACAGCCAGAGTTTCCATGGCCTATCACCTTCTCATCTATCCCAGTGCAGGGAACGGAAAATGTTTGGGATGGTTCTGGCAGCGCCCCATCCCTGCCTCACACCAAGGTACGGAGCAGAGCGGGGCCAGAGGGGAGAGGACCCGTCCCCACCACACAGCAGGGCTGGAGACGAGGCTGCTCCTGCCCCGGGGGGGAAACCACAACCAAGAGGCCACCAGTCAGTGTCACAGGGGCTCTGCAGCACCTCGTGTTCAGGAGCCAAAGCAGAGCCAGCTCCTGCCATAGCCAGGGCAGTGGAGAACGAGGCACCAAGGGCCCTGTGCCAAGGACCCCCCATGAGGGGCGTGAGCCCGATCTCAAAGGGGACACAGCCCTGGGCTGACCCCAGAGACACCCCAAAACCCTCCCCACACCCCTGCACCAGCCACACCGAGCTGGGGCAGCCCAGAGTGCCCCGAGGCTGTGCCCCTGGCCATGGGGAGGTGCCGGGGGCACAGAGGGGTTCCCAAGATCGTGCCCTACCTGTGTAGCCAGCCAGGGCAGCAGCAGGAATGACAGGCTTGTCCTTGTTCATGTCGGCCCGGTCCCGCACATAGTCCTTGAAGGTGCCCTTGGGCTTGTGGCTGGGCAGGGTGGCAGGGTAGTCCTCGGAGTCGAAGCTGTCGTAGGAGGGGACGCGCTGCAGGCTCTGGAAGGAGGACTGGCTGCTCCAGGACTGCGTCAGGCGGTCACAGCTGTCGTAGCTCTCTATGCTCTCGAAGGAGTCCTGGCCTCCCAGCTTACCTGGAGGAGGCACAGCAGGTGAGAAGGGCCTGGCCAGCACAGGATGCTTCACCTGTACACTCTGCAGGCACAGGGCAACTGATGCTGTGCCTTTACATCCCATCTCCAAAGTAAGCACGGCCCAGACCTGCAATACTTTTACCTTTGCCATTCAGAGCAGGGCTGAGCCCTGGAAAACTTCAGGCAGAAGAGCAAGGCAGAGAGAGTTGGGAAAAACCCAAATCTGGCCTCTCTACCCAAGACTGGTGCCTGGGGCTGACTGGAAATGGTCCTTCATTTCCAAAAGGCAATGTCAGAAACATAATTCACTCTAGATATTCAAGGCTGAGCTCAGGAGCCTAAACATGGGCACTCCAGAACCTCTTTATTCAGAGGGTGGGGAGGCCCTGAGAAGCTGCAGCTGTCCCTGGATCTCTGGAAGTGTTGAAAGCCAGGTTGGACGGGACTTGGAGCAACCTGGGACAGTGGAAGGTGTCCCTGCCCATGGC